TGGACTCGTGTATCGAACAGGGTGCTCATATGGAAAATGGGAAGCAGTTGGTCCTCCATGTCAAAATCATTAAATCTTAAACATGGGGTAAGCCCAACGTGTGCGGCACCGTTCATTGCACAAAATCGGGTTTTGGAAGAGATTTTAGTGATCCTTAGTGGGGTACTCCTACAAGGTGAAGCTAAGTTGTCTCTAGTACAAGTAAAACTTCCACCCGTTGAACGGTTTGCCTACTTGAGGATGTGTTTTTAAGGGCACGGATAGAGCTTCCGACCCCCCTTAATTTCATTAACCCTCCACACGAGTTGAGGAAAAGGAGTTAAAAGAAGTACTCTGGCGAGCGCCAGGTGTACAGAAATTGCTCTTGCTCGACTAATAAGGGCCGACCGTGCAAAAGACTGCAGTTGGAACCTTACCAAATGAAAGAAAAAAGAAAAATGTAAATGAAAGTGAGAAAAAGGGGTTCCAACGGTGAAATGAAGTGAAAGAACACCCCCGGTACAACGAGTCCTTGGTTGTGAATGGTGTGAGTCCCTTTATCCATGAACTGGCTGTCTTACTTCCACTTCTTCTCATGATCCTGGCTTGAGTCTAGTACTCGCATTGAGAGAGATAGGGGACGTCTTAGAAGACCAGTTGACCTCGTAAGCTGCTATATGATCTAGGAAATCCTCTACCGACGATCGGGGTTGTTTGTTGCTATAGAGGTCTGGAGAGCTGCATTGGTTTGATTTAGGTTTGCTTGGGGACAAGCAAACGGTTAAGTGTGGGGGAATTTGATAACATCGGATTTGCACATGTTTGCACCCTCGTTTCTTGATCATTTTGGCTTGAGTTTCTGATTTCTTGGACTATTTTACGCTAGGTTGTGTTCCTTTGTCACATTTCAGGTCCTAGCATGTAAATTGAAGCATAGGCGCAAGTTTCAAGTCAATCGGAGATCATTTGGCAATTCGGGAGAAGAAACACGAGCGTAACCTGAGGAATAATGAACCTCTAACTCATATTATGGATAAATAATCAGGAAAGCTTGTCATGAAAAGAAAGAGGACAAGACTACGAGCGTCTGGGATCAAACGGCGACTGATTCGGAGTCCGGACGAGGGAGAAACGAAGCATTAAACAGAGGCTGAGCAAGCCACACGGGCATCCTGGAACTCCACACGGCCGTGTGGGTCGTGGTCGTGTGGAAATCACCGAGCCTTCACACGGGCAGCTGGGAAAGCCACACGGCCGTGTGGCCTGGCCGCGTGATCGGGAATTCCTATTTAATCCTCGATTTTCAGCAAAAGGAAAGGGGAGAGCTGGGTTTTTGGTTCCCAAACACCCAAGGGACGAACTCTAGAGAGAGAGAGCGACTTGGGAACATTCTTGGAGCTATTTTGGAGGATTTCTTTGCCATTGGAGCTCGGGAATCAAGCTTGAAGATGGAGATTGAAGATCTAGATCAGATTTCTGCAGTCTCTCTCTTCTCTATGGAGTAACTTCCCTTCACTTAGGTTTTGAGGAACCCTAGTTCCATGTGTTAGGATCTTTCTTGTATGAAGTTTTGGATGCTATATTGTTTGATTATAATCGATTGAGGCATGATTTATTGAGTCAATTGAATCTTGATCAAATTCTCTTGATTTCTGCTTTAACCTATGATAGATAGAATCTGATTAGGTTAAGAGAGCTTCCTTGATTGATAGTGGTGAATTGGTTGTGCTAGAGTCAATCAATTCACTGCTTTGTACTGGAATTCATTCCAGTAGTGGAGTTCTGTGTTCATAGCCTCAGCTTTCTATCCTGGTGAAGACTATTCGTCTGTCGGGTAGTTGGACTGAGAGGGCTTGGTCAGCTTAAGAGATTCCAAGCTAATTTAGGATCTTCCGCAGTTTAATCAACAGTAGATCAACTAAAGGTAATTGCAACTTGGACCTAATTGAGGAACTAGGGGGAATCATACCTAAGTGAGTTCCCAACTTGTACTTAGTAGAGTAGTCAGTAGAGTAGTTTATAAATCAATCATTAATCTAGTTTGCTAGATAATGAACTGAAGCTGAGTAATAGTAACTCTAGAGACCCGTGGATTCGATATTTATTACTTGTGCCACTATACTGCAGTCCCTTTTATTGGTTACACTTGGCCATTGTTAGGTGTTGTATTTTAGCGTGTCACCTAGGTATTTTGCATGCTCTGATTCCTGCTTCATTCCCAAAATTGGTACCAAATTGTTTCTCTGTTCTGCTATTACACTAGGACTGAAACATATTTCTGCAGGTTGACCATCTGCCCTGATTCCAGGTTAGGTCTTCAAAATCTTAATCAAAACATAGCATTCTTGGGGAGTAGCCTGAGTAAAGAAGATGCTATCTTCTGCAAACAAGAGGTGAGAGACTGATGGTCCTCAAACTGAAGCTTTTAGACCATTTATCTTGTCATCCCTTGCTGCTTTTGTCATTAGTGCTGAAAATCCCTCTACACAGAATAAGAACAAGTAGGGAGATATAGGGTCCCCTTGTCTTAGTCCTCGTTCTGGTTTGAACGTTTTAGTCTGGTGTCCATTAACTAGTACTGAATAGGTAACATTCGAAACACAATTCATTACTAGCTTGACCCATTGCCTCAAGAAAAAGCCACTCTACTCTATCGTAAGCTTAGAAATGTCTAATTTAGCTACCATTAGCCCCTTCTTGGCATTAGTTTTCTGCTTCATTGTATGGAACAGCTCAAAAGCCACTAACACATTGTCTGTGATGTATCTCCCTGGGACGAAAGCACTCTGGGGTTCATCTATAATTTGATTCAACAGTCCCTTCAGTCTATTTGCTATTACTTTCGAGATGATCTTGTAGGTCACCTTGCAGAGGCTTATAGGTCTAAATTCTAAGGGGGTATCGGGTTGTTTCTTCTTTGGTATCAAAGTTATTAGTGTATGGTTGAGCTGCTGGGGGAATTCTCCACTCCGAATAACTCTTAAAATCCTCTTTTATTGCTGGTCCAACAACACCCCAATTTATTTGGAAGAATCGGACTGACATGCCATCCGCCCCTGGAGCTTTGTTTGGTCCCATTTGTTTAAGGGCCAGCCAAATCTCTTCATTTGAGTAGGGTCTTAGAAGTTCCTGATTCATTTCTGTCGTTACTTTGGGAGTAACCGCTGAAAGAATCTTGCTCTGTTCTGGGTAAGGCCCTGTTTTGAATAAAATCTGCAAGTATTGTCTCAAGCAGTCACTAACCTCTTGTTGTCCCATGAAAATCTGGCCAGTCTCATTCCGTAGCTTCCTTATGGTATTTTTCTGTCTTCTTTCTGAAGCTTTACGATGAAAAGTAGCTCGTATTACAGTCACCTTCTTTGAGCCAGTCAAGTCGAGATCGTTGCTTCCACTTCATTTCCTCTTGAGGATAATATCATTCAGCTCCTGCTCAATTACTCTTCTCTGGACCTGAACCGCTTTGGTCTTTTTTTCCTCTTCTCTAAGCCTCGAAGAGCCTTCTCTGCCCGTTTACGCCTTTCTTTTAGAGAGCCAAAAGCAGTTTGGCTCCAACTTTTGAGTTTGTGTTTGCAATTTTTGATTCTATCCATTACCCCTAGACTCGGGTGAGCTAGCCATTCCTCTCTAATCACTGTCCCACGGTCTTCGTGTCTTTCCGAGTATGGTTCATATATGAAATTCCACCCCACGTAATCTCTTCCTTTTCCGAATTTAGTTTGACCTGGATGGGAATATGGTCAGAACCACACCTTTCCAAGTGATTGACTCGCATTAAGGGGAAACAATCCAACCATTGCTTATTCCCCACTGCTATGTCTAGTCGTTCCTCTGTGTAGTCTTCTCCTTATTTGTTATTTTCCCATGTGAAGGGTCCCCCATAGAAACCACAGTCTTCTAGATCGCAGGATTCCAATGTTTGTCTAAGTGTAGGCCTGTTATGGGGAGGTTTTTTATATAGGATATTTAAGGAGAGTTAAGAGTATACCTATTTGCTAATTTCACAAACCAAGACCAGCAATATGGATTGCATGAAAGCATAAAAATATATAGATTACCTGAAAAACAAAGAGGCTTTCAATCTTAGTTAGTAAAATACAGTACGAATAGTTACATATAAATGCATAAGTGTATTTTACTTTACTATGCATAGATGAATATACTTGAAGTATATATCATGGGCTCACAGGCCCAGCGCCACTGAAGTTGGCTTTAAAATATAAGACCTATGGAGTATGGATTACGTGGAAAAATAAAGCGGCTCTCAACTATAGTTAGTAAAATAAGATATCTGTGGTTACATATAAAATGCATACATGTATTTTATTATACTATGCATAGACGTATATATAATAATGATAAATTGGTTAAAATACTTGAAGTATATATCATGGGCTCATATGTCCAACGCCACTGAAGTTGGCTTTAAAATATAAGACCTATGGATTATATGAAAAACAAAGAGGATATTAATCGTAGTTCGTAAAATACTATATGGTAGTTACATGTAAACATAACTACATAAGTGTATTTTAGTTTATTACGCAAGTACAGAAGCGAACATATAAAACCGGCCACGTCAGCCATTATGTCTGATGAGATATATATTCAAGGAAAAAATCCCAAAGTACACTACTTAAAAAAAAAGGCAAAATACACTTGTATAGCCATAAGTTTCACGTTTTTTACAAATATAGCCAAAACTATTCGAAAACCCAAAATAGCCAGGAAATTGGAGGGTAGTGTGACAAATCTAGCCATTTCCGTTAGAAACTTTAACGGTGTTAGTGACGCCGTCAATTTTGTTAGTGATTTGCTGATTAGGACGCCAAATCAGCGCACACGTCATCAACAAATCAGCATAAAGTCACATGTAGATTATATATGATAATATATAATAAAAATAAAAAAATAATATGAATAAAAAATATATATAATATTTAATCATAAAAGAAACAAAAAACTCTTCCCCTTCCCCTTCACCGCCACCATCCCCTTATCCTTCCTCCCACCTCTGTTCCTTCCTACCATCCATGGCCGCCGCCGCGGTCACCGTCACTACGAATCTCCTGCGTCGCCACCATAAACACTACCCAAAAATTTCCTTCCCCCTTCCTCACAAATTCCAATCTCCCCTTCGCCCTCTCTGGAACCGCTTCCCCTGTGGCCATGCCCATCTCCACAATACCTCCCCACCTTCCAGATCCTTCTCCCTTCGGATCGCACCTCATCCCCATCAAGAGGAACGAGAGGGCGTCTTCTTTTCCAATCGCACTTCATCGAGATCCTCTCGCCACCGGAGCGGCGACAATCCCTGCAATTTCGGCTCAGTTCCAGATCGGGTTCTTCGTCGTGGTTTGATGAAATCCGTTTCGTTTCTCACCACCAACCAGCCCTCTGTAGATGAACTGATTGGGCGAATCTCGAGGAAACAATATTAGCTGCAAGAGGGAGAAGTGGGGATGGAGGATTTGGAGTGGTAGGTCGAGGGAAAAGAAACAAGCAGGTTGCTGCTCTTTGCCTCTATTTTGATCGGCGAGAAAAACAGAGAGGGTGGTGATATATCTCTGCGTCCCTCACTCTCGTCGACCTCGAAATCCTTCAGCGCAGCGGTACCTCTGTCGAGAAGAAACAAGCAAGTTGCTTGACCTTCTCCCCCATCTCGTCGTGCTTTTGATTGGCTTCCGATTAGTTTATCCTTCTTCGTGCTTACCGCTACTTCCGATTCGTTTCCAATTTCGGCGGCGACTGGTGAGGAGATGAAGAATTGGCCCCCGAATTTGGGGTCTCCAAGAACCTAAATGAGCATTTTGCTTTTTTTTTAGTTTTTTTTGCTTTTTTTTAACACACGTGGACTTTAACTGACGAAATGTCGCCAGGTCAGCATTTCCGTCAGTCTAGTCAGATGGTTAAGTAACACCGTTAAAATGATGGATGGAATTGGTTATTTTGGGTTTTCGAATAGTTCTGGCTATATTTGTCAAAATCGTGAAACTTATGGCTATACAAGTGTATTTTGCCTAAAAAAATTCCCAAAATACATAAGTTATAAAAAAAATTCCCAAAGTACACTTGTTTGGCATTCACCGTTTTTGACAAACGCAGTGAAGATTATCACCGCGTTTGACAAAGACGGTGAATATTTCACCGTTTAAAAAAAACGGTGACATGTTCACCGTCATCGTCTAAAATGGCGATACGTTCACCGCGTTTGATAAGAACGGTGATGATATCACCGTTTTAGGGCAACACGGTGAATAAATTCACCGTCGTAGGTTAAGACGGTGATCTTTTCCCACGTTTCCCACCCCTGGTAGGTCAAAATTAGGTCACAGCTACCTATTATTCACCGTTTTTGACAAACGCGGTGATGGTATATCCCAAATAGCACGGGAGCGATGAGCTTCTTGATCGGTTAAGAGTCTCTCATCCCTTGGGCCATAATGGATATACAATCGAGGATCGTATATCTCGGCACCCATCTATAAAAAAGTAATGAAATCAGAGATTGTTTTGATAAAAAAAAACACAAAATCAAATTATTTCGATTAAAAAAAATCATAAACCAAAAACCTACACGAAGAGCCTCTTCGTCCATTTTTGGCGGAAGCCGGACAGAGGTTCGACGGGTTCAGGTTTGTAAGGGACGGGAACTTAGCGGGACGGGAGCTTTAGGGTCAAACTCTAGTAATTCTTTCTGATGTGGAAGATCGGACTTAGCCGCAACCACAGGGCATACTTAGAACGAGACTAGGGCGGATAAATTGAGGGAGAAAGAATGTAAATGGTTGTGGTGTGATTTGTTTGTGGGGGGAAGGGTTCTATTTATAGTGGGGGAAAGGTTCAGCCGAAAAAAAGGGGAAGGCTTCACAGTGTTCGACAAAGACGGTGAATACACCATCTTTATCGAAGACGGTGAAAGGGCGCGGATCGAGCGACGTGGCCAAGCGTGAGGCGTCGGATCTGGGAAGAAAACCACGATCCGCGCCTCACCGCATCCGACGGCCACGGTGAACGCGTTAGCGACGCGGATCGCTGACGCAAACAAACACGGGGTATTCACCGTGTTTGTTTAACGCGGTGAATACACCGCGTTTGTCCACGTCAGCGATCCGCGTCACTTCATCGTGGCCGAAAATGCGGTTTAAGTTTCACCGTTTTTAATTAAAACGGTGATGCATTCACCGTGTCCGTCTAAAATGGTGATTGCCTCGCTGGTTGTTCACCGTTTTAGATGAAGACGGTGAAATATTCACCGTCTTTGTCAAACGCAGTGATATTAGTCACTGCGTTTGTCAAAAACGGTGAATTTCAAACATGTGTATTTTGGGAAAATTTTTTAGGCAAAATACACTTCCATAGCCATAATTTTACACTTTGTGACAAATGTAGCCAAATTTTGAAAAATACATTAAAATAGCCAGATTTTGAAACATATATGACAAATTTAACGGTGTTAGAGATACCGTTAACATCTGTCGACAACAAACTTAGGTGGCACCTCCTCAACTTCCACGTCATTTTTGAGTCACCAATTATGCCATGTGTACGCCATGTCAAATTAAATTATATTAATAATTAAGAAATATTATTTCCAAAAATGCCAACATAACATATTTTTCTTCTTCATCTTTCCTGGGTTTGTTCTGTAAAAAAAAAACTTTTTTTGAGTTCGAGAGAGATCTGAAGACACCACCAACTCAACCACCCTTTCTTTTCATCTTCATCTTTGCTCCTGCAAGCTTCTATCTCCCTAGCTCCTTTGCAACTTGATTTGGAGGTAGAGTCATCAACTCTCATCTCCGCCGCTTGCTCAAATCGTTTCTTCTTCCCCGATGAAATGAGTTTCTGATTCTGTGGCCAATCGTCGATTGAGAAAATCAAAGGAAGTGAATTCGTCGAGGAATCAATCGAATAGAAGGATAGAAGAAATGGATTTCGTCGGAGAATCGAACGAATCGATCAAGAATGTAACGAAATTGAATGGCGGCAGAAACGAAACTGGAAGAGGAAGGATTGAGAAGTCTACTCTCCTGAAACTCGACCAGCAAAATCTGGAGTCCGATCCATGCCTAGTAATATCCCCTGCCTCTAGCAAAACAGGGCATAGGAAATCGGCCAAGCGGAATCGGACGCAGTGTTGTCTGTCCCAGTCCGGCGGTGGAAAATCTTGCCGGAATCGCTCCGTTAACCATGTCGCCATCCACTGCTCTTTCTCTTAGCGAGAGAGATCTGAACGAACTCCAACTGGTGTGGTGAGAAACGAGCCTCCTTCCTCCAGATTCATCACCTTCACGATGCCGAGGTACGGGAGCGTGGCTTCGCGGAGCTTGTCGCCGACGAAAATAGCAGCAGTGATTGATGGGACAACGGCGGCGGTGAATTTGGTGACTGAGAATCGTCTGGATCTGGAGTTCAGTTTCTATGGTGGGGCTTGAGGGAGGAGAGTGAGGAGGCGGAGGAGGAGATTGAGACAGGAGGACGGCTTTTGGCGGCGGCAGCAGATACGGGGGAGGAGGAGAGGAAGGTTCGTGATTGAAATTTCCATCGATTCCTCCATGGGATTAGGTATCCCCGGGGAAGATGAGGGCTTCAAGCTCTGGATTGGTCGCTTTTGATTCCGCCGTCGCCTGGACTCGGTCGTCTTTCCACCTAGTCGCCAAGGTCGATGAGGTGACGGAGAGCTCGTGGCCGGTGCCCTTGCCGGCGGCAGATTGATGTTCTATGCGGACGAATGGCAATGGGCATGTCCGGGGGCGGGTATCTCGATACCCATTCCCGCCCCGTGGCAGGTCGGGTACGGGTCGGGTAATTTATTATGGGGCACGGGTCGGGGCAGGTCGACCCATTAGGTATATAATTTATGCGAAAAACATTAGAATTATTCGTTATTTTAATTAAAAGACCAAGAAAGAAACCATAATTTGATCAAATGTAGTTAAATTATTGGAGAAATTGAGTTTTTCACTTATTTACAACTTTATTATACATAAAATATGATGTAATAAGAGGAAAATCCTAAGTAATTTGACCAAGATTAAATGTAACTTAGGCCAGAACGGGTCGAGAATGGGGCGGGTCCGGGCAGGTTGGGTTAATGAGAGGTACCCATTTCCGCCCTGAAACAGGTCAAACAGATCGGGTAACTCGGGTCAGGTCGAAATTGCCATCCCTATATGCGGTGGGAGATGGAAGGGGTCTGGGGAGTTGGATCAAAGATGAAAATGTGGGGCGGAGAGATGAAGATTACCCTTTTATTTTTTATTTTTATATTTAATGTAATAAATATAATTAAATTTAAATTTCATCTTGGCATGTTTTAATGTAGATCAAGGCAAGCGCGGTCACAGACTACTGTTTGTCCAGTCAGCAGTCGGTAGAGTTCCGTTAGATTAATGGACGGAATGGCTATTTTAGTGTATTTTTCAAAATTTGGTTATATATGTCACAAAGTGTAAAGTTATGGCTATAGGTGTCAATCGGGCGGGTTCGGGCGGGTTCGGGCTGGGTTCAATCGGGTTCGGGTTCAAACGGGTTGCGGGTTAGTCGAGTTGCGGGTTCATCGGGTTCGGGTTCATCGGGTTCGGGTTCAAACGGGTTGCGGGTTAGTCGGGTTGCGGGTTCATCGGGTTCGGATTCAATCGGGTTGTGGGCAAATCGGGTTGCGGGTTCATCGGGTTTTGGGTCGGGCGGGTTGCGGGCGGGTCGGGTTTCGGGTTGTTCGGGCCAGCGCATTAAGTAAATTAACTCATTACTCATTACCAACTTACACATTTTATTACACTAATTTAAAATATTTTCTCAACTTTTTAACCAATTTATTTCTACCTCGTATATATATACTTTATTTTTTTGAAAAAAACTAGTCAAAATGTTAAATCAATTTGTATGACTTGCAAACTTGTTATGTAATTAATCATAATTGGTAAAGTATTATAGCTAATAGTAATGGTGATATCAATATTTGCAACCAAAAGGCACCGTTAGTTGTTTATTTGATATTTTAGTATTAATTCAGTAGTAATTGGATTAAAGTATCTCGTTTAGTATAACCATGCAAATATGGTATTTGGCGTGTGGTATTTGGCAAAAGCATAGTGATAAAAGGAGTTATTTCAAAATAACTCATTGCCCAAATAACTTTAGTAAACTGTTGCCAAACGAGTTATTTGTAAAATTGTTCGAATTATCCTAAAAATTGAACCATTAAAGATTAGCTATCAAATTTAGTAAAATTATTGTGACTTCAATCATAACTTACTCAATAGCATATATCCTATACACTTAGCTTTACCCTCAATCAACATTATTAAGTTAGTATATGTTGTTGATTGTATACCTTAAACCATCAATACATTATACACTAACCACATAACTTATACCCTAACCATATGTCCTTGCACTACAGGAAAATTGGTTACTAGTCACGGTAACTTATTCACGGTAATTATTCCCGTACTAAAAAGTATGTTAATAGTCACGGTAAAAATTCTCGTATTTGATTGTATAGTTCTAATCACGGTAATTAATTTAACTGTTATGTATTCTTCATTTACCGTGATTAATTGTTAGTCACGGTTAATTCCCGTGAATAATGCGAAACTTGACCATTTGGTACCAAATGAATCGAGATTTCATTGTCAAATGAATTCTTATGTTTGGTACGCCAAATTCAAATCTATAGAAATAAAATTATTTGAATTCTCAAACCATGTTTGGCATATGTTGAGAATTGAATACAGTTAAAAGTTTTCAACTACACCCTTATTAACTTCTGGCCGAAAAAGTATTCAATGAAAACCGATCTTCTAAAAAACGTCTCTTGTCCCATACGTAGAATATCACAAGTGTTCTTGTGTGTTTGTATTCTATTAATTAGTTCTTTTCTAATATTTCGTCGATGAACCATGCAATCTAGTTGTGACTTCTCAACATAATGATACTATCAAAGCAGAAATATCAAATAACCAGTATATGCTACTAGCGATGCAATCAAATTCTTATCGACGTTCATCTTACGGTATTAATTGGCGTCAAATAATTTATGTAGAAGTAATTTAGCTATTAAATGGGGATAATTATGTCATTCCATTATAATTAGTAAATCCTTGTGAAATTCATTTGAAAATTTCATCTCAATTACTCGAAATTGATATAACTACTTTTAATTTTGTAGAATTCAAAAGTTTGAATTGAAAATTAATTATTATAAATACTGGACACAAAAAGATTTAATTTCAAAATGAATTTTCTATAACTTATGAAATGCATTTATTACCAAACAATATCTTTATCTTTAAAAAATAAGGGAGAATTTGTTTTATCCAAAAAATTACTTTGCCTCCAAAATTTCTTTTGACTCCAAAAAATTTGCTTTAATCGAGAACAACACCAAAATTTGTTTTTGGCTCCAAAATTTTGGTTCTGACCGCCACTTTTTTGTTCCACCAAAATTAACCATCTTTCCCTCTTTCTAGCTTCTGTTCCACCGCTCACTCCTTCCTCTCTCTCCATCCCGACTGCATCTTGTTCTTCTCTGAATCTTCCTCAAATCCTACCGCCAAAAACCCCTTCTCTACGTCTTTCTTCTACTTTCCCTTTTGCTAGTATAGTTAATTTAAAAGTGGAATTCATACTTTGATTTTCAAAACATAGATAAAAGGGTTAATATTTTCGTATGGCCTGAACTTTATCCAAAATAAACATTCTGGCCAATCTTTTCGATCTATAACATCCTGGCCCGAAGTATACACCAAAATAAATAATTTGGCCAGATCCGACTTTTGACCGTTAACTTGGACGGTCAAATGCATTGACCGTTAGTCAACGCGCCATGTCACTGCCAAGTCAGCATAAAATATTTAAAATAATTCACAATTTCCACACATTCCCTAATTTTAAATTATTATAAATTAAAAAAATCATCTAATACCTTAGTTAAACCAAAAATAAAAAATGAAAAAATCAAATATTTATAAGATCTTCTGACTTGGCAGTGACGTGGCGCGTTGACCGTTAGTCAACGCGTTTGACCATCTAAGTTAACGGTCAAACATCGGGTTTGGCCAAATTGTTTATTTTGGTGTATAGTTCGGGCCAGGATGTTATAGATCGAAAAGATTGGCCATGATGTTTATTTTGGTCAAAGTTCAGGCCATACGAAAATATTAACCCTAGATAAAAAGTGATATTTGCTAATTGTTATACCCTAACCATATATCCTATACTTTACACCACATACCTAGTACCCTAACCACGTACCATAAACATAAATTAAAAAGGAATCTCCTGCTGTTAAAGACTTCAAATGACTTCAAGTGAACATATGTTAATAAAAAAATTAGAACCATCAAAACCATCAATATCTTATACCCTAACCATATACACCCTAAACCATATGTACCTTATACCTTATACCCTAACCATATACTTTATATCTTAAACAACGAACCGTCAAAGATTACTTATCAAGTTTAGTATAAATTGTTGTAACTCATGGTTAATTTATTTATTAGCACATACAAAATTACATACATATTAGCTTTCAAAGCATATAAGAATAATTTTAACTAGTCATGCCCTCCATATAAAAGTTAAAGATTCATATTTCAAAAGCTAAAATTATGAAAAATCAAAAAATTGAAAACACCAAATTTGTTTCCTTCTTTATTATCACAAAAATACTAAAATTTCCCTCCTTCTTTCTCCTTCCATACATTAGAAAAACTCAATTTTCCCTCCTCTTTCTCTTCCATAAAATTGAAGAACCAAATTATCATCTTCTTTCTTTCTACAAAAAGTTGAAAAGTCAAAAGTTTCCCTCCTTATTTCTCTTTCATAATCAAAAGAATCAAATTTTCCCACATATCAAAACCACCAAAATTCCCACTTGTTTCTTTTCTAAAAAATTCAAGGAACCAAATTTCCCTCTTCTTTCTCATCCCAAAAACTTGAATACACCAAAATTTTCCTCTTCTTTTAAAAACATCAAATTACCAAATACATTACTTTACTTTATTTAATTGATAATTTTATTGAATAGTTAAATTAACCAAAATTTTAATTTATATATTATATTAATATTGTCATGATCTCAAGTGACCTTCTTTTTTTTTTCAAAAGATATTCATATAATGAACCAAACGAAGGTAGTTACATCCTGGATCGAAGCCAGGTCTGAAAGTCAAAACCTCGACAAGGAGCCGGGTACAAAGTAAGGGCCTTTCTAGCCACCGAATGGGCTACCCTATTGCTATCCCGGCCTACAAATCGAATACTAAAACCCACATGCCCCCTCAAAAACTGCACAATTTCCTCCAAGACCACCCCAATCCTACTATCCCTGGTTTCCGCCTGATTGACTTTGTCAATAATAATCTTCACGTCGCCTTCCAATAAAACACTCTGGAGACCAAGGCCATCACACCAAAGAAGAGCTTTACGGAGAGCTAGCGCTTCTGCTATCAATGGATCGTCAATCGAAGGGAACTGACACCCCTGGGCCAACACCACCGCGCGTCGCACATCACACAACACCATTCCAGCACTCGAATGAGACCCAGCACGCGTCGCCCCATCCCACGAGCAAACCATAAAGGGAATCACCGCCTGCAGGTTCGTTATGGGCTCAACAATTGGCCTATCCGACGATTGCGAGGTGCCCATCGCCTTCTCCCACTCCTCACATTGTTGGCGATACTGGCGCAGCAAAGCCTCGAATCCAAACTGCTTTCCTCCAAAGAAAACCCAATTTCGAGACTTCCAGATCCGCCAGAGAACGGATACCACCGACATAAGCACCGAGGGTTGCTGAATTATGTTAACAAGC